TTGGGAGAACAATTCAACTGCAAACCAGTAAATTTCTGTTTTCTGTTCAGGGAGGACCTTCCTTCTCTCCTGGTGGATCTTATGGACAGGTAGGTGTTCTTTTTTGTAGAGATAACAGAGTTCTTTTATCTTCATTGTTATATTCCCCATATAGTGGCTGTTGTGAAATTTAACACCCAAGAATTGAATCAACTGTTTGTAACTTACAACATGAAATCTATCAGAGGAAAAGATTAAACTGTATTTACAAATTCCATGGAAGAATCTTTCATCCAAATAAGAAAATCAGTGATAAAAAGTTCCTTTTGGTTTAACAGTATTGCCCTAGAGTGAGAGTTGGGTACATTGGTATTTACACCATCCTGTTTGCAAGAAAATAGCTAGTCTGTGTTTTCATTTCAGGGAGCCCCAGGTTATCCACACAGCACATATTCTGGTAACCAGGTAAACATTCAGATAAAATGCCCCATTCAGAAGCTCCATCCAAAACCTTCCCTTGAAGGAGCAAACAAATACAAACCAGTAACCCATTCTGTCTTTGCACAGGGAGGGCCTTTCTACTATCCTGGAGGATCCTATGGACAGGTAGTAGTTCTTCCTCCCTCACCGGGAGAACACAGACTCCCATCCTCCTGGGTCCATCACTCCCAGTATTGTGGGTGCTAAGACTTGCCATAATTAGAAACCTGACTGTTGTCCCTTAAAGCAGAAAAATTAACCCTGATGTAACCCAGAGGTGTGAAGTTTGACAGAGAACAGAACAGACTGATATCTGCAGCTTCCTTGCAGAATACAACTTTCAGCAGGCTAAGAAAGTTGCCACCAGAAGATTTCTTCTAGTGTAACAGTAATGGTCTTGAATTTTATTCAGATACATAAAACTTAGCTCCAAATTGGGAGAAAGAGTATATGGAGAGAACTGGATATGCAGGTATTTAAACTCTTGTCTGCAAGAAAATAACTGGTCTGTGTTTTTCTTCTAGGGTGGCCCAGGTTCTTCCCACAGTTCTTACTCTGGTAACCAGGTAAATATTCGGGTCACTGCATCTTCACAGGAGCAGTGGGAAAGTATTCTTTGGGAGAACAATTCAACTGCAAACCAGTAAATTTCTGTTTTCTGTTCAGGGAGGACCTTCCTTCTCTCCTGGTGGATCTTACGGACAGGTAGGTGTTATTTCTTGTTTGTGGAGACAGAAGAGTTCTTTATTTTCATTCCTATTCTGTCTTTGAAAGATGGAAAACACTTTCCCGAGGGAACCAAATTAACCAGCTTTCTTTGTTTTCTTTACAGGGAGGATCTTCTGTTTATGATGGTAGCAGTGAATCCTATGGTCAGGTAAGTACTCTTTTTTTCCTCCTTGTGTAAAGGGTGCTGAGGGCAAATACTCTGGGTCAAATATACAGCTATATTCTGTATTTTGCCTCTCACTATATTTTAATGAAAGTGAGCTTTTTCTTTGAGGAGTGAATGAATTTGTATATACTTCCAGGCTACTTAGTTAAAAGCTTATAGGGGAGTAAAAAGTGGGGTGCCTCCAACCTTTAAGGCTTGTTCTCCTCAATAATAATAGCTTTGAATTACCTAGAAGATTAGGGTCTCTTCAAAAGTGGAATTAGAATTTGAGTTAAAAAATATGTTAAATTAGTGCTTTACAGTGACAGGAGTTGCTCAAGAGCCATTCTTATAACTAGATAGATAATCATACTTTTAAAATCTTCCCAGAAGGGGATCCTTAGAGTCAGTGTCCAAAAAAAAAAAAAAAAAAATTCCCAATATGAGAATTATTCTGTTCACAATATGAGAATTGTTTATGTTTTCTGAACAGGGTGGATCTTCTGCATATAGTGGTGCTGAGTCTTATGGCCAGGTAATTGTTATTTGTCTCCTACACCAAAAGCTTAAGCTTGCTCTGTTGGTTATTATGTGCACTGAGTTCTAGATTTCAGTTATTTTTAAGTGAGCATGACCACAGAAATGCTGGTTTGTCTTTTGTTTCTCTTTAATTTACCCTTTCACAACTCAAGTGGAGGGAGCCCTGCTAACTGTGCCCTGTGACTATTCTGTGCTGTAACTACGTCATTGTTTATGCATTAGCTCATTCAAAAGGAAAACATTTTGTGCATTTACTTTATATACTTCACTTATGCAGAAGCTGTTGAAAGTATAAATAATGGGATTTTTTAATATAAAGAAGGATTAACTTTGCAAATGAACTTCATCTAAAATTTTTCCTTACAAAAATTATGTTTGCAAGGAGGGTTTTTTCCCAGCCTCTTCTGCTTAAGCAACAGGTAAAATTATATATTTTTTTCTTTCCTTGCACATTCACTGGTTAAGGTAAAATTGAAGATTCTAAGTGGTTTGTTATTTTTATTCTTTTATTTTAAATTCTCCATAATTTGGAACATGTGAGACTCCTTTTTATATGAAAGTAAATGTTTTTTTCATTATTTTATAGGATTCGCCTTCCATGGCAGGCAGTGAAACTGATGAGAGCGTAAGTGTTTTTCTCAACCATAACAATAACTTAATTCATGACCTTTTAAAGTATCTAGGTGCTTACATGGACCTTTATCTCATAATCTTATCTCTAAGAACTCCTTCACCTTACATGCTAACCATGTGTTGTTCATCATTTTCTACAGTAACTTCTTTGAAATTATATTTTTTCCATAGAGAAAGGAAAATGTAGACCTAAATTATGTCATACTGTTGTGATATATATGATAAGTGCTTTGCAAATTAAAATTGCGGTTACAACAGTTCTGCCTTGTAGCAATCATACATTTTTAATTGGTTATTAGAAGTAGTAATTACAAAGGAAACTCTTTATTTCCCAAATTCCACCAAAATGCAGTGTTATTATGTGACTACTTCCCTCTCCTTCCATCCCCAATTCCCACTACACTTCATTTGTGTTTTTCCAATGCCAGACGTATAAGATTCAAGTTCCTTCATCTATATATTACATAGGAATGGTCTGGGTTTGTGTAGTGTGGTGAAAACTGCCTGCTTTTCTGTTTAAGGAGATGCCTTTTCTCCTGACTAAAGTATATTTCCTAATAATTATGCTGAAGTTGTTTATAAAA